TATTTGTAAATTGTCTATTAGAACTTTGTAATGCATGCACTTTTCCTGTCTGGCAGCTCGGTTAGGTCAAACGTTTCCTTTTGAAGGCTGAAGTGCGGTCCGTTGATCGTCACACAACGGCATCTTAAGAAAAGGACCTGACAAAAAGGAAGATTTTTCCTGCTGTGACTGCGAACAGCGGAGATTCTTTTTGCCAACGAGAAGACCGTGAGTCTGTGCATATCCTTTTTTTTAGGTAAGAAAGGCGCTTTGCCAGACAGAATAGGATTGTAGACCGGAATGAAAAATGTAAGACTGAACACTTTTCTAGCAAAGAAAAATTAATATGCTCACGTTCGTTTTTTCTCTTTGGTTAAAGTGTTCATTAAAAACACCTAAAATATAAGTAAGAGATGGATTAACTTGAGATGAAATCTTCAGAGGAATAGCGTTGCCCAGAAATGATTGTCGAAGCCCAGAACACCTAAAAGTAACCAGAAGATTGTAAAGTTTACAGAATTGTCTATCCGTCTAGCCTGTGATTAGATCCAGTGGCGATTCATGAAGAACTCTGAGGTGCTTCATCTCAAATAAGCATAATATCAATGATGTCAATTGCATAATAATAATAGTCGTGACTAGTGGTAATAGTCCAGTTTAAAAAGATCGGGACGATTTGAAGGCAAAACTAAAGATCGCAATCAGCTATACGTTGCCCAGAAATAGAGAACGAGACCTTAAGAACGACGTTACACTACAATTGATAATAGCAATTTTAGTTAACCTTCTATTTATCTGTCCGCTGGAATATAGCAGAAGAAAGGCCGACCAAACTCGCATGCCCATCTTGACTCGTCATTCATCATTCTGCTATACTAAATATAAATACATTGTCACCCAAAAAGACGATATCGCAGCTGTTACTTACATCCTACATTCGCGGAGCAGAAATGGCGGCGATTCCGCTTAACGGTTTCGGTTATGTTGTCGTACTTGAACCGAACACTATATAACTATATAAAAATGATAGATTTAGCTAAGCGTAGCTCTTTTTTTCGTTAAGATTTTGCCTCGGGCCCGTCAGTGTAAGTAGTCCCACAGTGTTTTTTAAGACGTAAAAATATTGATGGCCGATAATTAATCTTAACCGGTTGGGTTTAATATAACCGAAAGGCCTTTGCGTACATTTATAAGCAGCCATGTATATGCAGTAGAGACGTAAGTATCTATAGGCGTTCTTTCTCTTGCAATCAAGGGTAGCTGCGAACCGGTCGGCCAAACACTCACAGAGTCAAAACAGTGAAAGGTTTCAGCAGATCGATTACAGATCTCGGATTCAGCCCTCTGATACGACAAAAAAATACCAGCCGACGATCATTGCTGTAGCTGAGATGCGCTCAGAATATGCATCTCCATTAAAGCGCATCTCGTTTTTTTATTATACAAATATAATGGCGAAACTATCATTTTTGCGACGGCCTGAAGAGGGAGACGCGGGGGGGGGGGGGGTAAAAACGGTGTATTACGGTCACACACGGCCTGTTTGGTCTCCTAGTTAATTTTTCCTATTTAAACCAGTTAAGGTAATGTGAGGTTGATAACAACCCGTTAGGAATACAACAAATACTACATACATTGTTAGTATTAGATTTTGAGATCAATGGCCAATACAAAGGCAAAGCTAATACTCCGGCCATTCATATTAACGCATTTGAAGAACGAAAGTCCCATTTAGGTAAAAGGGAAACTGAGTGTAAAGAAATACTAGCGGAGAAAATGGGGCTGGGAAACCCGCCGTTGGGAAGAAAAAGGTCGCTATCGATGAGAGCACCTGATCCCGTCACAAGCACCTCGTTGTAGGCCGATTTAAAATATCTGAAGACACTCATGCTCAAGCACAACAATAGGTAGAAATCTTTTTACAAATAAATCAGTGGTTCATGTCGATTTTTACACATGACGCAATGCTCGTTCAAGCCAGCGACGTTCACTGCCTAAGTTGCGCTTAGACGTCCATTTTTACGGTGTGGTATTCCGGTCGCCGACCATCTAAAAATTAAAGATATTTTCTCTGTCCCCCCCTCCGGTCCTAGTTAATTCAATTCGTACCTTTCCGATAGCAACCTTATAAATTACGTGTAACTGTAGATTTTTTTTTTCCACGCAATTTGTGCACTAGCAAAGCAAAAATTGTTCCTCGGCAGCAGATTCTCTCATATGGCTAATTTTCAAATGTCGAAGCTTACCAACGATCGAGTCATCTTCTCTACAGTTACAATCCGGAAAAAAAAATGGCGTTGCGTGTTCGTCATGAAGACGCAAAGTACACAGCATCTCTCTCTAATTCCCGCCTGTCTTTGTGCGATATAACGATCCGAGGGGTGGGGGGTGAGGCAGCGTGCAAAGGCGTTCGCCGGGGTGGTCTAGGTTACACGTAAGTGATGGACAAACAATACCCTAGCGGAAGAAGATTGAACGAATTTCAACGACCAATAGATATTTAGTGTCACCATGATTATGACGATTGTTATTGCGTTGCTCGATTGAGATAATTTCATGACCTGAACATCTATTTGCCATCTGTTTTTGTCGCCGTGACGGTCAATTGTTTTCCTTGTTTGGTGTGCAAATAACGCTCACTACTAGCTGTTCTTATTAAATAATATCCTGTAACCATATACGTATTTCCTCTATATGAGTTAGGTGTCTAATTAGGCCCTCTTCCTGCAAATTGTCACCTTTTTTATGCCCTTCTAGATTATTATTTCCGTTATTGTCACGCTATTTTTTGCATGTTGAAAGCGTAACTATTTAACTAGTACATACACAAAACCCAAGTCCGCATATTTAGGAAGAAAGCCCAACGGATTCATAAAGGGTTGCATACCTATACCTGAATGATTTTACTAGATCATACAAGTTTTGCTGCTACATGTTCACTCCTGTAGAAAATTCCCTATTATTGTCGGCACACAAAGGTACCGCCAATAGAACTCGATATAGCTTTCCGGTTATATGCTTCCGATGGACATCTTAAATACATCATTATAAATTAATAACGGGACATTTGCCACTACGACGAATGTTGCCCCCCAAGCGCGATCACTTCGTAATCTATTTTTCATCATTTTTCCTACATAAACGCAAACACGACGAGTCGATGTAAACAACTGAAAGCCAACAACCATAGGCTGCATAATGACATTAAGAGTGATATATCTACACCTATTAGAATATTAGGGGTATTTACTGTACGTATTATATATATATATATATATATATATAGCCTACAATACAACTCAGTATTATCTGATTATTCTGAGAGTTTATATTGAACAAATTGCATCTGCTTAATAAAATAGAGTATCTGCTAGACAGGGTGCTCGAGCTCGCCAAAATATACGCTATTACCATTATTGTATAGTCTATCTTTCTGATGTCTCTAAAAGGAACGTTTTTGGCATCGGGTCTAGAGGACGTTAATCGGATCCTTCCCTTATGTGAACGTTGCATACGTTTGGGATTGATGTCCACAACAACAATATCACTCTGCTGTTCGAGAAGCGTAAATAAGAGAAAGGCTAAGCGTAAAAACACTGATAGGCTCGTAGGGCTATGTTACAGTATCCTATTTTTAGCAAAGCAGGATTCAGAGTGTCTATATATATATATATAAGTACAGATCGGTAACGTTTAAGAATCTAGCTGCTTCCCTATTCGAGTACTGCTACACGGTTCCCCATACAGTAACAAGACCGATGTACATAGAATTTAAAATGTTGAACTACCGTTTCATCATCATTTACTATCTATTGACGTCTTCGTTAGTGTTAGCTTGGGTCGCATGGATGACAAAAGAACCGTCCCATCTTCGTATGAACAGCTCCGAGCGCGAATACACACAAACTAAATTGCTTCGTATTACGGTAAGGCAAGCAATGCTTGACAGAGATTTAAGAAAAGAAAGTGCGATATCCTCCTGTTTCCGCTGGTCGATTATTTCTAATTGGTGTCACGTTGAGGCTTGAAGTTTCAACAACTTTCTTATTCGCTGCCGCGTTGGCTATATTCCGCTCATGGTTCGGATCGGACGCCGCTCGGAGCGAGCCAGTTGGTGACGCCTGTCATTTTCCTGGTTTCCCCCTGTTCGATAGTAAGCATCGCGCGAGTACGTCAACGTTAGCACTGCTTTTCGTCTTGTATCTTTGCATCCAAGGGCTCGATAACGATTTCATTTCGGACAATGTTTGATGATTACTATGATTTACTGATTTCTTTGTTTGCCCGCTGCACGTCTGCCTGTACCTATCCGTTGTCCATCGTCGATATCGTCTGGCAAAACTCCAATCTATCTCGAGATGTATCTTGCTTTGGTAGATGAATGCACTTGATTTTTGTATTTGTTAGATGTGAGTCTTTGACAAGCACACCACATAGGTATGCACTCGCGCCATACAGATATACGTATATATATATATATATATATATATATATAGATTCCCATAGGTGTGCATCAGTAGACATCTGGGTGTTTGTGTATACCTTCTAATGTAATAAATATAATAATAGCACTGCGGGCCTCGCATAGTAACTGAAGACGAATATATCTGAGCTCTTTTATTGAATCGATTGTAGCAGGTAGCTGGGATCGGGCGCCCCTATGGCACTTCTGTTTTTATGGCGAAGGTAGTAACATGTATGCAATGATAGCGCACGTTTCTAATTAATTCCATTTGATCATTCAGTGATAAATATGCAGACAATAGCTGTTACGCGACCGAGTTAGGAGAGTGTTAGAAGTGCGGTGGATGCGCAAAGCTCGTGATTTGCAATGTCTGTCTATTCTATTCTCAATGGGCTGGAAGAGTATACGCCAGTAAATGATTTCTCAAAATGTGCATTTAAAAAGACTCTGAGAATTGTACTCCTGCATTATTTACAATCGAGGTTGTTACTATCAACGTCTGATACCGTATCTGAAATCGTGACGCACCCTCGATACCGTGTTTTATTTACAGACGCAACATCGTTGCCTTTTCTTCAACGGCATATTCCTGAGATTGGCTATCTCTTATCTGAAGAGGTTCGCACCCACAGGCGTCGATTGGAGCTGGAAACGGATATCAAAGTAATCGTCTAGCACGCTGGCAGATTTATTTCTACCTAAATGCGCCCAGTCGGTTATCGTTGCTTATTTCTTCACATTTATACTATTTCTACACGTGTCCTTTATTTGCAAGTTTCGTTTCATTCATGCAAGCATTTCCTGCCGGATATATAATATTTTTTGGGCCTTTTCATACTAGCTTTACGAAGCGGCACATGTATTTCCAGGAGGATGAAAAGCCTTACTCCTATTACCTCTTACTATCATCATTATTATTCGAGTTAGGTAACAAAAAAGGTCAACATCGACAGACTGCAGATATGTACTATCTACGATACTTTTTGCCTTTATCTAGATTTGAATCATTTATGTATCGTGTATGGTGCTGTAGCAGCCGCATCCCTGCCAGTATAATCATCACAGTACCCGTATTTCTATGCATCGCATCATACACGCGCGTAAGAAATGTCTAATTGTCGATATATCTAATTGTGCAGATGAATTACGACGTACCGAATGAATCGGGATTGTCTAGCCCCGGACGGCCAAAGGGCAACACCACGAGCCGCTCGAATGTTAGAGTTGTTGACGCCTTTGCAGATGCAAACGAAGTATAAGTAAGTTCAATAATATTTCTCCCTCAGAAGCTGAAAGCATATTGAAGAAGTAAAAAATCATATCTCATTGATGTTTATAGATATCAATTGGCTAGCTGAACGCTTCCGAAGTTCATAGGTGTCTAGTTTTTTTTTTTTTTTCAATCATTCCATCAATCAATACCGTCTGCTACGACAGAACTACACATGATAAACTGTTCGTTTTTGCATTCAAACTCAATCGTCGCAGAATTCACAGTGTCTCTCTCAACGTGGGGATTTTCACGATCGTTTCGCGTAAATTTGTGTTAGATTGATTTGTCATATTGATTTATACGTGGCGTATGTGTGTAGCCATGCGTACTTCAGGTGTCTAGTCTTGGTACGATCTACAACAATGAGCCGATGAAAATCCGTGTTCGAAATATAGCGGGCGAGACATACGAAGATTCTGACCGTTATGAGTTATTGAATTGCTGAATTTCAGCAGCGTGTTTCATATGTCCGATAAGCCGAATGTTTGGGTCCAGGAGTAACCTGCAAAGGTGTTCACAGAACCCTGTTGTGAATATAATATTTGCTTGACAAGACCTTCTCCTAAAAACAAAGTGGCGGAACGAGGGGATATGCTTTGACTCGTTACCCCAAATAGTCATAGCAATTTATGCCTCTCTCTCCTCGGGGTTATCAGTCCTCCGTTGATACAATACTCTGTGCAGTGCAAAACAACTGCAACTTCAGGCCATCAGCGGATCATCACAGAAGCTGACTGCTGAAAAAAGGACCGTGGCGCTTTTTGGCCGACTACAATAGCAGTATCCATTGTCTCGAAGAGAAGAATTATACATATGAACATTTGAAGTGTATCACGTTCGAGTGGGGCTGAATGGGCTAAATTTAACGTTTGTTATTGTCCGTTCAACAAATGCGCACATGGAGATGCTGTTCGATAGCGCAGACTCAGCCTTCTGAGCCGTCGAAGCCACTTACCGCGTACGTGCAGAAACGTGTAGAAGAAGCGTCTCTTAGCTGGAAATTAGGAAAAAGAAGTTAAAGAAGGGAGACAACGATTGGTCAGCAATAACAGATACCAATAATTCAAAGCGGACATGACGATCTGGTAGATGAACGAACAAACCAAGTTAATGAAGCACATCCTCGTCATAGAAAAAAAAGAGGACCAAGAAAGAAATGGGTCTGTCGACTGTTTTCTTAACGGAACACCGCCGCTGCTGTCAGGTGGACGCTAGTTGCACGCATCACTAAAGTTCGTCTGGCAACGGTGGCTAACTGATTGATGACGGCACTGGTGGCAGTGCGCGACGAAACAGCGAGACGGAAACGGCCCCCACCGATATGGACGCGCAAATGACCCCGTCATAATTTGTGATTTACGCGCGTGTCCCTTTTAGCTTTGTGCACTACTACAGCCATTACTAGATCTCTGTAGCGCTCATACGGCATGCCAAAGTTTGATTTAGCTGATCATTGGCCTGCCGGCATTCTTCTAGCTGCCTGTTCGCTGCTCAAATTAAAAAGAAAATAATAAGATATAGACGTCCAACCAGCATCATGTGCTGTATATTCTGGCAATGTGCTGTCAGTGTGTCTGAAGAGAGAAAAGGACAAGTGTTACAATGCGAGTTCGACAGTGCATAGATCCCTATACAGCAGTGTCCGCTGTAGTGGCCCCCGGTGATGCTGACACTGCAGCGTGATGGTGGCGCATGACCCGGAGCCTAGTAACTTCAACGATGCAGGCAATGTCCCGCTTCGTCCGCATGTCTGTGCTTTGCAAGCCCGTAGCTGTGAGGTTTCGCGAGGTGTGAAGTTGATGCTGGTAACGCACCAAGCTAGAGTATTAACTCTGTTGACAGCAGGCACGGAGAGACCGTGTATTCTGTACGGTTAGCACGACACAGATTGGAAGAAAGGCAGATCGTTTGAAAATTGGTGGCCCGGTTCATCGACGACACAATCTCGAGCACATGTTACAGCTCTTGGGATGACCAATGTCTGACACTATTCGTGAGCAGGTCGGCAGAATTCAGAAGCTGCCTGTTGAGCTGAGCGCATCAACTGATCGCTATGTCTACTATTTTACGCTCGAAATCGAACCCAGACCATCACGTGTCCCTCAAGCTTATCAGGCAAAAGCGGTACCCACTACGCGATCACGGGGCCACCACAGGCGCTAAATCCTGATAGCTATGACTTCCGGGCTCACAAGCACTCGAAGTTCGCATGTCTGCTGTAGCGCAGGCAACTCGGAGGTGACTTCGGCCAATTGGTCCGCTAGACCCCTCGAACTTCTCCTTAAGTCGTATCACAAAACAATGAAGATCTAGGCTGAGAGAAAATGAAGCTCATACCATACTATGTGTCCATGAACTGTTCGGTCCTAACTATTGAAAAATAGAGAAGACATTATTTTGTCTTAAAATTGATGTTAGCGATTGCTAGATCCCTGTCTCGGCTCCTGAGAGATACACTTTTATCTGTTACACATTGGCACAAATGATACAGTCTTTACTTCTTTCTACAGACCATTTTTATCCCTATAGCTCTGCGATACAGTAACCAGTACCCCAGTGACAAGACTATCGATCTTAAAAAAAAAAAAGAGGAAGGAATGAGACCTAACCTGTTTTAAATAAAGAGATTTAGGCTTGAGTGTTGGTAAGTGAATGGCATAATGCGCTTTGACTTTTATATAAAAAAGAGTAGCTGCCAATTAATTTATACATAGGGTGTTACCTTGTAAAGTACGCTGTCTCCTGCTCAGCAGTCATTACCATGAATCATCTTCGCTTAGGTGTTTCGCCGGGATTTATGTCGCCCTTTGCTATTCCCCACCTCGTGAACATCCAGCGTATGCCTATATGCTTTCCTAATAGCGCGGTGGATATCGCGTTCACCCGTTGAACTTAGTGAATCCGGCCGTAGACACATTTCGTTTCGTGCTGTAAATTGACCGTTTTAAGTAATGTCTAACAACGAACGTAAAAACAAAAAAATTTATGTATATGATCTACATAGATTATTTTACGCAACGGCTGTCGTCTACAATTTACATTGCTTATTAGCATTTGTCTCTAATTAAACGCAGAAACGTGCTGTTTATAGAAAAAAGTTTGTTAGCGTGCGGATGACGCGACCACGAGTCAGGTGTAAACACTGACGAACGTCCGTCTTATGTCAAAACTTAAGAAAAGAGTTCCAGGTTTAAAACCAACAGCTGGACACTATTTGGGGGAGAAGATCTACATTTGAAATAGAAATAGGAAAAAAGATTAAAAGTTACGTCAAAGTAGCTTGCGATTTTAATTGCTAGGTGATCACCTAGCCGCGACAAACACCGTTTGCTTCTGGAAACACACCTGTATATCCCATGAAAAGGTTCTCATAAATAGTAGCTTAATCGAGTTTTGTGCCTTGATAAGCCTGTTGTAACACATAGGTAGTTAAAGGTCTAGCGAGTAGTGTCTAAGCCTTTCGTAATGATCGGAGTCACATAAGGCTGAGGAACCCATTGACTCATTTTTTTCAATGACCATCAAATCAACCCACTTCCTTTTATTGTTAGTTCTGTTAATAGTGAACTCAAGTTTCGGTTGAAATACTTACTTTTTGAGCAGCAACTCAATCAACAATGACTAACATCCCTGCCTTTCGAAAATTCTAAAGAATAACACTAGTAAAAATGACAAGCAAATAGAAAATAGCATCTGAACTAAGCTAGAATTTCAATTTAAAAATGCCGCTTACTCTCCCTCTAGTTAATCGCCAATATACCTAGAACAATTAAGTGTAACTTTTGCGAACTTATCATCATCATCGCAGTGGGGAACGCAATGATTTACCCGCACAAAACGTGGGGCTAATCAACCAACCATGACGAAAGCAGTACAACTCCGACAGAAAGCACTATATTTTCGTTGTTCCGGCGTGATCCTCTCACTTTTGTGTATTTTTCTGTCCTGGCTATAGTCTTCATCTAGTTCTACATTGGGCCATCCGTTGAAAATTGTAGTGAAGTTATTCTAATACTCCCCAATGCTAAAGCATCAATTCTCCGCAGGTCAATGATTGTCTGTAGCTGCCGCTGCCGCCGCCGCTGCTGCTGCTGCTGTCTTACTTCAGTTCGATTTCGGACGTCGACGTTTTTAAACGCAAGGATCGATGTCAACGTCGTGATCGAGAAATCGGCACGATAACCCTGTCGCAGAGGCGTCCCCTCTCATCACCTATTCGTCTAAAGAGTGGCCATGCGGAAATATTGGATAATAGAGATCCAAATGAATCGTAAACAGGTTGCACCGTCAACGAACCCGTCGCATACGTATTTCGTCTGAGCAGAATCAGTCAAATAGGCCTACGATCAGTTCGATAGTAACAACAGCAACAGGCAGTGCCGACACCCAACAGCTGCTGCTGCTGCTGCTGCTACTATCGCAAGCAGATGATATCAGAGGATCTTCGCACTGGGAGCGTCTTGAGCTATTGTACATACAGCGTTGTCCAGCGCAACGATAACAGTAAACGCCTAGTAGAAACCTCAGGAAGCTGTTCAAGCACGCGCAAATGTAGCGGCAATGGTCCGACCAATGAATCAGTGTGCCACGCTACGGAAAGTGACCCGCATGATCCCAATGGCGGCGATGCGCGGCTTCTGCACTGCGGAAAACTTCTTCCGGAAGCGTCGGTGTCGTCCAATCGAGGCATAGTAAAGCATCCATCTGTCCACGCTCAGTGCGAAGTGAACGAATGAAAAATACCGCAACACTAGAATGGTCAATTGTCGTGTGCTACTAACGAACTTCATAATGATGTGACGACTTCTGTTTGTTGAAGTCGCGGGTGAACGGGAAAAAAAGCTCTTCTGCGTAACGATTTGTGCACGGCCTCTCAGTGGTGAGCGTAGGAAGGCTATGAAACTCATGGCGACCAGATTCGCTGTCCGTCTGTTCGTGGAAAGTTGTTCATTTACAATCGTGTAAGTGCCCAAAAGGTGGTAAGAAATATTACTTGGTCAGCTCAGGGGGTCCATTGGTGGGGATATCGATGGGCTTTTCCTCCTAATGGCTGATCGCATTTGCTGGTGGATCTGCTGATTATGAGTTGTTATTTGGGTTGATTGGCGGATCTCGTTTAGCTCACGAGTCGTCGCCACCCCTCAAAGGGAAGATTCGCGGTGCCTAGAAGATAACGGTGGTTTTGATGCCATTCATAATTTGCCGTCTTCATTGCACATTGTTGTGATGTCAACTGCGGTCGCGACTTGCGACTAGGAGCGATTTCTGAAGAGAAAAATCGCCATGAAGTCGTTTGACAGAAACGGTTATATAGCCTAAAAGTCGCTGTATTTATCTAAAGGTACAATCTTTCACAAGGCAAGTGCTGGATCAAGTAAGGATCACGAAGGACAGATATATTACGCTAAGTATAGCTCAAGTTCACTCATTTACGAACATTAATAAACAGCATTTAGGCCTCTGGAAATTTACTAAGGAAAGCTGTGATGTTAGGCTCTTTCTAAATTTCAACCAGTAGCACGAAGTGCTATATGACGAAATAAGAATGGTGCATTTTTTTTCTATCGAATAAACGTTCAACGCTGTGTACAGTTGAACAAGTAGGTATTTTCTTTTGGTAATTAATGTTTAATAATGATTTCTAGTATTAACGAAGTGAACAGGTGAACGATGCTTAACCGTCATTGCGCCATTTCAAAACAGAATGTGTCAAACTACTACAAAAAGAGTAGCTTCCATGGTAAAATGTCAACTAAACACTAGAAAAAAAAATAGAAGAGAAAACAAATAGAGAGTTGAATAGAGTAGAAACAAATAGAGACAGCCACCCGTCGCTATGACGAATACCCATTTGTTGTGGTCCCGGTATCGACGAACTTAAGTGCACCTCTTCGACCATTAAGCCATTTCGATCTACCTTAAGCTTCCAGCATCGGCAACAGTTTGGGGAACCACTAAGCGCTTCCGCTGAGTCGTTAGGCAATGGAACGCAAACCTGGAAAACATTTTTTGGCTGTAGTCTCATTTTAAGCTAGCAAGGAGACCGACTCGATAACTCAAACTGGTCTTATAGCCTAAATGTTGGTAATAACTATTGTTGCCGCTGCCGCTACGATTTTTGCTGCTAGCGATTGATAGTATTAGTAGAACTCGCTTCGTTGAAGTTATCGTTCTCGTCGTTGAACAATCGCAGCTTCTCTATTTTTCTCACCCCACTCTGTTCCCTGTCGTTGTCGCTGGTGCTAGTTCTTTTTCTTCTAGAAAAGAAGAGAGAAAAAAGAATGGAAAGTTCTTGTGCGTGTCTCGTCGTCATCGTCGCCGTCAGATAGAAGAGGAGCATTAAGCGGCGGTGAAGTGACCGCTTGTTGGGACACTTGTGGCGAGGCGTCATTACCAACAGAATGCGGCAGTACGACGGTGGCTGTTTATAAAAACATTCTATTGTCACTGTTGTCGGTGACGCTGCTGCGTGGTCCGACCCAATATTCGAGAAAGGCAATGACATCAGCTATAATGGGCGTAGTGACAGCAGAGCGATAAGGTGAAAAATAACCGTTGATGATGGTGGGGGTGACAACGGTGGGCATACCCCAAGGACAGGTAAGGGGGCAACGGTGGGGAAAAAATGCACACGAGAAACACGACTACGAAAAACGGATCACGAGCCGATCGAAAATCGCTCGTGCCGTCGAAACCTGAATTAAATTGTAAATTAAATCTGGATTAAATTTAAGAAGGTGGTGAAGAGCACCGTCGGCGCCAGATACAACACTGATGAGCTTGTTCTCGCCATTAATATCACTGTTAGTTAATTGATACACGTCCTTCTATACGCAAGTGTGCTGCACTTTTTCTAATTACTTTGTTTATGTAGCGTTATTTTAAGTTTGTCTCTCCCTGGATTTGAGCATTTTAGTAATTAAGATGAGCTTAGTTCCTTGAGGCGGCGAGCGGGACGCAGACTGTGTATGTTTCCGCAGACGACTTTATCCGGAGCTTTTTTTGTCTAGGGGTTAGCCATTCATGAAGCGCCCTGCTATAGCAGTGGAAGAGGTGGACACGTACCCCTCGACGACGCCCTCACACACGGGTACAGATTTGTCATGAAAGCATGCCGCTATTAGTCATCTCTGGTAAGCAGCAACTGGGCACAATCCTCAACCGGTCACGATACCTTCGGATAATCGCAGGAACGTTATCTGTATTAATTCCTGAATAAGAAGTCGCTTGTTGACAATTGTACTTTCGGGTCATGGGCAGCAATACATCTTCGGTTGCCTTAGGCGTTATTATAGTCGTTATCTCTAGGGTTCGGTCCTTTACAGTAAATCATTTATAACGCCAGATGTCCTAAGAAGCTAAATGATCTGATTGAAGACAACCATTACTTCTGTCTTCATCGATAAACGTCCTTTAGAGCTAGCTATTATGTCGTATGGTTCGGGTAGGGCTGTAGATCCAAATAGTTACATTTTGGGTCGAATTTGGTTGACTAATGATCTTTCAAAAACAATACTTAGTTACATCTTGAGCTGTATCAATTGGATGGAATGGAGACAAAATGTCTACGAAACGCACGTCCGTAGCGGACGAATGTCAAAGATGTCCGCTGCTATCCAAGATTCATTATTATAAATGATTATGATGATCATAAGTGTTTAGCTGCACGTATTTCGAATTGAGGGAATTCAACTCAGCTCGTTTATACACTGGACATTGTAGAACACGTAAGCGAAGTAGTTGAAAGCGATTTCACGAACCTCAAGACACTGAACTGAACGCAGATTCATCTGAATACAGCCTTGAGGTCCGTCTATTGCATGCACATTCAAGCAAACGTTCGCTTGTCGGTGTATGCACTTCTTCTATTAAAATTCAAACGAAAGCTGAGATTTTTACACATCGTGCACGAAATAAAGTTTAAATTCTGTTGGAGAACAGTAGGCTCAGCCGCCAATGGTGATCTATAGAAAAAATTGCATTTTAATATATAAGTGACCAAATATGAAACTGGTCTAAAATATGTTTCTATTGCATTTTGTCTGAGACGTTTGCGATTTCGCCGTAAGCATAGGTTACTAATGTGTTGTATGAACGCAAGCTATTTCTAAGCAGCGTATCCGTCTTTGTCCTGACACTGCTTGTTAACAAATATGGTTTCCATTAGCGGGACATCAAGGGACCTGAAATCTCTGTTGTAAACGTTGACTCTTCTATGTAGACTGTCCGTGTTCCCTGTCAACTGAGTTGACCTAGAAGCTTCCTTTCTATTTCGAGCTTGCTGTTTGTAGCTTATGGGCACGTTCGTATCTACGGAGCCAGCAACAACACGCTTTAGCTTCTTGTCTTCGTGCTGTCATGAGGACGCAGACATAACATTAATCAGCTTCTTCCAGGTAAAGCCATATCGTATAACACTTTGAAGGATTACCCCTTTTGTCGATCATAGATACCTACATTTTACACATCGAGAACCAGTAAGACACTATAATAATATAGTATCTTGTTTGAGCCTGAGCTCACACCTCACGCGAGTGCAGCGCAACGTAGCTGACTATTAGTGCTTGTCTGGCTACCGAAGCCAACTCCAGTCGATAAATCTCGCACGAAGCCATTTAGCATCTACTATATATTCTCGAAGGCAGGCAAGGCATGATGACACCTAGCTACCGTAACCCTTGGACAAGGCAGAATACGATTACGAGGACGGGAGTAAACGGTAAACACACGCACACGCCCAAACAACGCTTGCGCTGACCAGGTCTGTCGCGTCTCTGCTGTCTATAGTGTTAATGGACGATACCGACCGCGAGCTTTGGTCATTATCCTTTTCTTTCAGCGTTCCCCAACATTTCCTAATAGAGTTCAGTTATTTTCGCGCCCCACCTGCGAAACAGTCATCTTGAGTCCTTTCGGCTTCCTCTTTCCACGGGAGGACGGGTTGCTGTGGCGTTGCTGAAACTTTGTTGTTGGGCTTTTTCGAGCCATTTAATGATCGCTGGAAGCGTTCCTAACGAATAGAATTATGATAAAATTAAGTCGGATGCGCAGTGTCAAGATATCGTAAAATTAAGACATCAAGCAAACATCCTAGATGATATATGACTTTTTATCTACGAGGAAAATATCATTCCAGACTTAATACAAGCTCTATTTAACCTGTCCTTGTTCTTTAGCTATGGCCCTATAATTACCTATCTGCGTCGAAACGGTACAGACCTTTCTGTCGGCGGCTCTTCGACGCGTGAGAACAGTAGAAAGGTTCACAACAAGCGGCATTACCACGCTTTTTGCTCGAGCACAGAATTTCCGCAGACGGTCGGTAGCAATGACAGGTCGCTCAGTTCGCTCAGTAGGTAGGGAAAAATAGCAAAATTCGTTTTTCGATGACCTTGCTACCGTTGACTGTAGGAGCACAAATGCTCTAAGGTTAGACCAAGAGGTGACAGCGATGGTAGCGGACAACAAACTCAAGCTTTCGTAAGTCATTCTCGTAATGGAGACTCGCCAATTCAGAGAAGGTAGCGATTTCATTCTTTGCTAACAACGGATAGGATTCGATCCATATCTCCGTGTGTCTCTGTGTTCGGTCGGTAAACGACGCCGTGCGGTTGGTGAATGGCGTTCGTAACCGTACGTCTGCAATTAGCACGACTCTTGTTTTGTCCGGCAAGGAAACAAGAATTCTGGACGGTCAGTGCGTCCAGTGGTGGGACAATATAGATTTGGGAATTATGGTAGCAGCAACAGGGCCCCGGTGACTGCTAAAAGATCTATGGATATTAATATAATTATTAGTCTTATAATGAAAGCACAGAGACTCGAGGTCGACAAACAGCACACTCTAAGAAAAATGGGTGTTTACGTGAAAATGATGGACGTCACTTGTTGTAGCAGCGGCAGCAGCAGCAGCAGCAGCAGCTGTTGTATCTGTGCGCGTCTACAAAGAGACAGATGACAAGAAGTGATAAATTCTCTCACGTCCGTTCGCGCCTCCGACCAGGTCGCATAGAACCCGTGGAACCATTCAGTTTCATTTAATATTATGAGATGAACCACTGTCCACCATCACCAATCATTTTTGCCACGCTGATTATTGGCGTTATTTTTATAAAGCATCTTTTGAGACCTGTTCGGATCCAGTTTCTTTCGACACTCAGTTTGATTAGCGAGAATACCTGTATAAACTTGCGTTCGTGTATCAAAATGGAGCGGGTCTGCACGGCGAAGATTCGACAACTCGGTGCGTCACGTAACTCATCGCGTTCTGACATTGACGAAGTTGAAACTATGTGATCTTCAACAGACACGCGAGGCGTTGCTTTATCGCGGCGTGTGAAAAGAGAGAGGAACCAAGATTATCGTACATGTTTGCCATGAGTGAACTAATGATTGTTCTTCCGACAGCCGGTAAAATAGTATAGTTTCATCAGGTGCGGAAGTCCTCCTTTATGATAGCATTAGGTAGGTCGATCAATACCGTACGCACTACTGTTTCAGTTTAAAAGCATTGTTAGCAAAGATATGCGTTTACTGCTTGAGTGTTTGTCTATCGATCTATGAATGTTGCCATTACTGAAACACTGCTTTCCACGTTTCAATGACACTTTAGTATCTGCCTCTGGAGTGTTCTAGCAGCAGCGCTGACCGACCGTTCCGCCGCTATTCAATAAAGCTCTGAGCAGCGAAGAACATTCGACGACGATTTCCACATGAGGTCGTTTCATTACCGAGACAGTTGGCCGGCGACGGTGTTTAATCGTAAATTCAAGATTTTTACTAACGGACCGATGAACAGCCCGGGTATTGCATGCTGTTTGTTTGCAAACTAACTATCTCGACACGTTCGTAGATTGTAGCTACGACAGAAGCAGACGCAGTGCTACCGGTCGCCAGTCTCAATAGCAAAGCCAAAAGTAACTGGCGGATCGTTGTTAGCAGAAGGAGGCAGCAGCGTCATCGTTTCGATTCGTTCGTTCGCCTCTCCTGTTCGAGACCGGCTAGAACACGATCAGCATTGGCTGGCACTGATTCATGAATACCCATAGTTTTTTTTTTTACCCAGTAAAAAAAGAAAGCAACGCGACGCGACGCGGCTTAACCTCGGACGACGCATTCGACGATGGAAGAAGAGGAGAGGCAGGAGGTGGTCCACGGATTCAGTCAGCGCTAGCGGCAACTTCTAAAGCTTCTTGCCAAAGTTAAACAAGATAGTCAAGTGGTGCGTGATAGTATGTGCTACGAGCGCAAATACAAGTAGAAGTAAATAGAAGAGGAAAAAGGGTGCGCACATGAGAGTCGCGAAAAGCAACTATAGATAACTAGACTAGAGAACGAGGCGCACCCAGTTGTAGGGACGGTTGTGCAGGGTATAAAGAGCATGTTACCAAACGCCGCCGCCGCCGCCGCCGACGTCGCTGTCCTGGTTAAGGCTGTCTATCGCTTTAGGCGGGCCAGCACGTTGCCGAAAGACAACAGAATAGATAGCCAGACCGCTATCGCCGGCAGATATTTGAGAAATATTCAGTGCCGCCGGCAGCGAGTCAGTGACTAACCGCGGGCGCGGCTCTAGGCGAAGTCTGTGTTTTTCTCTAGGATCTGTCGGTTCACTGGGTTATACGTACATGTGGGTATATATGGATGTGTATGTGATAAATCGTGAGGGCAAGAAGACAGGCTTGCGAACGCGTGTGCGTATGTGGAACACTGCTCAATCGGTAGAAAGTGCTCAGACCGGTAACTAACTCGTCTATCTTCGCCAGTCGTCCCGCTGAGTAAACAACGGGTTGTACATGAACACTTTCAGATTGAATATGACAGAAGGAAATAGCAGGAGATTAGAAATCTGTATAGAAGGGAGGACTAGCAATGTTAATCTTGTGGATTTTGGCATGTTTGCTTGCACTGTCGCTGTTTGACGTCGTCGGACGTTATTTACCAGTAAGTGCCTATCAACTCCCGTCCTCGTATGCTCCCGCCTACGGGAGTCTTTTAGGCTGACGGTAGAACAATGAGCGGCTACGTATGAAAGCGGTATATACATATCATTGGCTCAATCCAACACTTCTCATTCTAATTATTGCATTGGTTCATAATAAGGCTTACGAAACGTCCCCATACATTCTATCGCACTGCGTATCAAGAAGCTTCCTTCAGTTGAACTTCCAATAACGTTAATACCTCATATGTTCTCTTCCAGAGGGTAGGGTCTCTTACCGAGGGAGCGTTATAAAGTCAATGAACTAAACCACAATATATTTCCTTTATTCTTACCACCGATACTCATCAGATAGCCGCCATTGACAACAATCAAAAGGATAACGGCTATTAGAAATGTTACCGTCGTTACTATTACTACGAAAAAAAAACAACCCACTTTCAGCACCCCGCAGGCACTTACCAACAAAATGTCAATAATTACTAGGCATTCCTAAACGGTATATTTCAAAACATAGTCATACGTTCATGCTATTTTGCCTTGACGCAAGAACGCGTGGAAAACACTTATACCATCTGGTTTCGTCAATAGTGAGGTATTGATGAACTGAAAACAGGTGACGGCATCAATGGAACAACGGAAAGAGAAAATGCCCTGTAGACTTATAGCTTGAAACAGGTAGAATATACTAATTATACATCTTGCAATTATTTTTAATAACACTAGCCAACTAATGAAACTTACTGAAACTTTTTTTAAGTTGTTCCTGTTGACATTCTGCTAACGTGATTAGTTAGACAAAAACGGACGACGTCCAGCTGGAAGACTTAACGTTAGGAACGCTTTGTTCAAAGGCACAAGATTTTCCCTTCGCGAACGGTGGAACTTCGTTGTCGACACTGAAATTCATTATACGTCAAAACGTTGGGACGATCGGTTATTCTGTACAGGTAGAGAGAACTCGAAAAGCCATTCCTGGCCTGGACAGGAACCGAATCCGCTGTTGAAACGTTATATCTACTACTCTACGACAATACGATGCACGGTTGAAACAGTTAGTTAGAGTTGTCGATAAAAACTGTAGAAGGTCCTAAAGATATCAAACCGTACCTGTGGCACATACCACTTAAACGACTCGAGTAAAAACTCATCTTATTTCCATTTGTTTTTTCTTCATTTTGATGAGCGGTACGTCTTTGTCACGTCACATAGATTCTTAGATTTGTGTATCCTTGTGCTCCAGTAGTCTATGATAGTAGATAACCAAAGAACAATTCGAAGTGCTGGCTACAAGGCCACCATTTAGAATAACACCTTTCGCTTCATGTTCATTCATAGAGCTGATAGCGCGGTGGGGGTTGTTTGCTGTTCAGCGATTATCTTCACTTGAAAAAAAGACGATGCCCCAGCCGGCCCTTCTCGTCATCAATCTTCAACGAAAACATGGACCATCACAGCAATGTAACGTTTCTAGACGATCCTACCGTCATCAATCTTCGTACTTCATGTTCTAACTTTTTTAGACATTTGCTCGCTGCCCCTTTAATCGTTCCGCTTGATTTTTACAAATGTTTCATTCATCGCAGTAGAAGAATTCACCCGCAGCTGGGCGTCCATGCAATAGTTGACAATAATGATACTAGGTACGCACGAATGGCAAACCAGCGAGCAAACTGGCGCCATTACACTATGTTGGCATTACAGCGGAGCTGTTACGGGGGCATAGTCACGAGGTGCGGAGCCGGAGTCACCGAAGCGGCGAAGACCGAAGTTCTCGTCTCTATTGTCGTCATCATCGAAATTATTCGTGTCGCGAATATTTTCCGAAGTTAACTTAACACTAAGAACTTGAAGGACGTTTCGCCTTCAACGCCTCTCCTCCTCGTTCCCCTTGCTATTTTCGGTCCTCCTATTCTTATTCATTGTGTGCTCTGTATTCTTCGTTATTGTTCTTTTTCTTGACTTTGTTTTACGGGGCCTACACATGGTTACACTAGAGCCTGACCGTTGTATTTCTTGGGAATGTAACGGAGGCGGCAGATCTTGAATTTAGCCCGATATAATTTTTCTAGACAAGCGGATGAATATATGATTGGTTACCGCTTATACCGTAGGTGACAAGAGCTTTAGAACAACGGTTAGAAACGTCGATGCGTTTGTAGGAGGTTGACAAAGCGGACAAAACCTGGCAATCAGAAGTATTAAGGCGGTGGCAGCGGGGTCGCTACTTCTGCCTTGTGACCGTGAAGTTTCTACGGGACAGCATCCCCACGATACCAGCTAAATTGCGAAGTCAGCGTTGGAAAGCTGGAACGCTTCAGCTATACGAGCAGGTTCTTCACAGATATTAGCTGTGGGCTCTACAAACACTTGGGTACTGATGTTTTATATAGGAATATGAACTATTAAAGCGAAGATAAAGAAGAGGTAGAGCTTTTGTTTCTACGATAAGGGTAAACGATCGGCTTCAAGTGATACAACAAATGTGCAATGGATAAAGGAGCGAGGCTGACGTACCGTATGGCTAGTGTGATCAATGACATCTGGAAGCGAACCGCAGTTCTATAAAACTAGCGTGGTATACCTGTCGTTCGATACATGTTTTGAAGCTATTCATTTGACGAGGATCGAAGCGATTAAAATCGTTGCCGGTCATCCTTAGAAGCCATGTAGAAACGATGAAATATCAATGCGTTTTCTGTTTCCACTAGGAACAGTTCTCTGAAATGACCATGATACTGCAGCAAACATCTTGAAGCATCGTTGATCAGGAAGCTACGCAGGTTTCATCGGCATTTTACAGCTAGCAGGTACATCGACATGGCATTGATGGTATGTACATGTCGAATATGTGTTCTTTCTGAACGTGAAGCCCGGGTCAAAATGCGTGTCAGTTAATGCCCAGCATTCGGTGAAACCTCTTGAAATATAGCCTACACGAAAGACCAAACGACACAGTGAATGGCTGTCAGATCTTTCATCCTGAACACGAAAGGTATTTCGATCCGATGAACTCGAGGCTCAACCAAACGGTTTCTCTTTGACACAGCTCCCAAATCCACTATTTGTGCTTCCTCAATAGTTGTTAAGAAGTTGACAAGCAGTAATAATGATATTAACAGCAATCTTCGGGGTGTTATTTATATCGTAGTATAAGGCTATCACTGCTTATTGCCAATTTTTTTCGAAGACACATTGTCCAACTAGAATATGAAAAAATCTGGTTGAATCCTCAACAGACTATAAAAAACAAAACCTAATATGCTGTTTGATGTGGAGTCACCCATTTCTGATCCATTTGCGCCTAGGCACGCTCAGCTCCACGTACTACCGACTGTTTCGGATGTCCACCAAAAATAGCCTTACTGCTCTCGCCTACGCGGCGTATTGAAATTTTCCGCTGGCCAATGCCCTTGTCTCGAAAACTTTCATTGGTGACGCCATCCATTCGGACTGTTCGTCTCGGCAATACGGCCCTTGGCCTGCAGCATCCGACGGTCGCAATAAAAAATCGCTATCCAATGACAACACCGCAGAATCACTGCTAGTCATTTTGCTGGCACAGTTATCAATACACCGTGCGTGTATGCACACGTACAGAGATATTTTACAATCTGTTCCGCCTCCAAGTGATTAGTTTTGTTCGTCGGAAAACCGTCGAACCGGCTTTGCTTCTCATCCTCCACTACAGCCGGGTACGGACAAACCCTAAAACGCACGCGCTGATGGTCTGGTGTGCAGCGGCTACGAGTACTGCTAGAATCCGCTTCTACACCATTACTCTGTATTATTCGACAGGGTGACGACGACTGCCAGAACGAGAGTTGTCTTTGAATCGCTTGGCTTGCGTTCTCATGGCTCACCACTTCGGTGGCGGTAACCGTTGCTACCGACGATATTAGAAAATTGTACGAGTGACGATCGTCGAGTACGTCGCGGTCGAAGTATCAGCCAACGTTTTAGATCTTGCTTGGCTTACTTTCCTGTTCGTAGACGAGGCTGCTGCAGACGCATCACGATGTGTTGTTTCTACGGCTGGTATCGTACCCGCTGCTGCTGTATTTCGAATACATAGACAGCATCATGTCTATATGGCTGTGGAGACTATGAAGTTGGTTAGTGCGGAAGAAAGAACGGAGGCTCTGGTGATAGCAGCGACGGCAGCTGGGGAACAACGCCGTCTCTTTGTAGTCCCGTACGATTGTTGAAGACTCTGATTTGGGAAGGAGGGAAAGATAGAGTTTGCTCGTGCACACTCTTGAATCAATGGACGACGGTGCGTCATTTCACAGGAACGGAGTAGACGAGGCCAAATGAGTGGCAGTATGACACGGTCAGAAGCCAGCGGCAGCGGGCTGAAAATGCGAAAGAGGTGGTGTTTAGGGAGACAACACGATTATCCTAGCGGCCCTACTCCAGAAAAGCAATAAAAGCGGGCCATTTTTTTGTTGACCAGGCCCAATGCTGATGCGATTAGTAAAACAAGATTGTTGATAGTCGTGAAACTACCGTAAATCGTACCCGTTATCTATGATTAAGGGTCATCAACTGTATTTTCAATGTTAGAATAGAATGACGTATGTAACACGAAGGATGACGGATCAGGCGCCAGTTGTTGCGATCCGTTCACTCGTATTATTTTCTCAAGCTACACTCCGCATGATCTAGAGACGATTTAGTATAATGAGCTGTTTCTAGTACAGCGTCTGATCATCATAAGCGTCGTTATTGGTTGGTTGCCATTATTATATCATCCTTGACATTGAAGAACATAGCAAAGCTAAGAACAGCCAGTATTTCCATATACTAGTTTCTTATTCTGATTGACATTTGCTATGTGTAGCCGTCATGTTGTTCTCTTGGATAAGCGGCTTGCATCTGCGCTTGTATTGTATTGTATGCACGTACATGCGGTAGACGACGTCCTTAGCTCAGGCACACTAGACGGTACGTCAAAGCTAAAGCAATTGAGCGGGAACGGACGCTAGTCCTAGAGCGGATAATCGGAGCGCCGACCGTTGCAAGGACACTGTTGCCAGTGTATCCATAAATGAAATAGGCCGAAATACGTTTGGCGATTAATTCCGACAGTTCATTGTCATCGTCTGCTCACTACCGTAACTGTACGTATGATACATTTGATATATTATTGAGCGGGCGCTTCGACATAGAAAATGAAGGCGGGTTTCGGCCGACGAGGCGCCAGCCGCGTCTCGTTAACCGCCATGATCGTGCCTGTGATCACTATTGATGGATTGGACCTTATTTTTCCCAGTTTCCTTTTCGTTTTTCCTCTGTTAAACGTATTCCGAGTGCTACTGTTATATATCGATTGGTTATAGGTAGGTTATATTTGAATTAATCTATTGAAATGTGCTTCGATAGTACTGCAAGCTAACGAGCTAACAAGCTAAGAAACGAACTATTGTTCTATTTGCAAACAAACGAGATCCGCCGTCCTCGAATTCCGGCCGCCTTTCCTCACCGGGGTTTTCGGCCCCCGAGACGAGGACCATCATAGTAGTGATGAAGTAGCACATACTATTTATATAGCGAAAGTTACAATAATTATTAACGGTTGACCAGCATCTCATGACCATGGTGGCGGCATCGGCATAGATATTCCTTAGTGGGCCAATTCTCCTCTCTTTCGTTCACTGTCACCCCACCCCACCCCCACCCCCCCACGATCTTCCTAACTGGAAATTGTTGTCGAATAGCTGATTCAATAGATGGTGACGCACAAAATCTAATGATACTTAGCTTGCTATTATGGTCCGATCGTTGTTGTAGGCCAATCGACGCCTGAAAGTGTCTGTCCGTGTGATCTCTTCCAACAGTCGAGGGTCGTTTTTTTCCGTTATGCATTAAGCAGACTTCATGTAAATGGCGTTGTTCTCGGTCGTAGACATTGCGAAAAATTGACGTTATTCGATAGCTCATTTGCGGTGGCGGTCGCTGACCACTGTGCTTAATCACACCTATTACTATCTTACCTGGCGCCATTGTGGCGCCAGCCCCCTCTCCGCTTTAACGTTGGTCATCAGTGTTAATAACACTGAACGTCACAGCGTCGTGCACACGTTCACAAATACACAAGAGCTGACACATGTAACATCACAATAAGCAAATGCCAGTTATTAGAAACACATTACGCGCTCCATTATTAGGGGGCGGTAAACGTATTCCGAGAGGAGTGGCACCAGGAACCGTTGACGAGTGAAACCTGCGTGTATATAAATACAGACTGATGAGGTGGCATCGATGAAGACGAAGATCGGCCAAGCTCCAACCAGTACTATCCGATTTGCACCCCTATTTAGGAAGCACACACAAGAGAAAATCAATTATATAGATATTTAATGACACAGATGTTAATGATGACCATAATAATAATTATATACTTGGACGTAAATAGCGTCAATATTATAGTACCCAAATAAAGACGCTGTACTGAACAGAAAAAACGACGAGAAGAACCCTACGAGCTGGCTAATTAATGGCTAAAACAGGGTTACTGTAGTTACTATTAACCGGGATTGAGTATAGTTATTATAGACATTGTTTATGTGTGTGCGCGTACGAGCAATATGTTCAATGGCGAGGTTCTAATAGATATAAATCAGCGCATTCTGCGTCTGTGGGGTGCGTGTATGTGGCAGCAGTATGTGATCAAGTGTGGTCAGACATGATCAGACTCAGTACCATTGTTGGGGTAGCAGCTGACTGCTCGTAGGCGTTAGACATGGCTGTTGTCCGAAAACACCTTGACGGTTCCTCATTGGGAACCAGCTCGATTGTATTTAAGAGTTCGATGCACAACCGCGATACAGCGTAAATTAATTGTTGTTCCATTGGCAAAAGGGGTTGACCAATGCACCGTAGGCACAGCCTAGTACTTGAACTAAAAATTCTATAAAATATTCTGTAACAGTAAAAACTCTATTAGAAGAATTATTGAAGTAATTGAGAGTCAGCTGGATAACCAGTTTAGTATAGGTGATGAAGAAGTCCCATCTGCCAGCGTACTAATTGAATGTACAACAAAATGTACGACTCCCCTAGTGGTCACCAAATGATTTGCGGTATATAGAGCATATAATACATTGCCTTAACAAGGACACATCTGTCCTGTCAAAAGCAATATATAAAACTTTTTTTTTTGTGTCATTTGCAATGGTATTAATATTTAGTTATATTCTGTTGTATGTTTTTTTTTGACTTAAACATTGATGCGCTAAATGACTGTTCTCCTATAGATGTCGCTACGCCAGTGCGACAATGGCGGTTACGTTGACCCGTAACATCTCGACAGTTTGCCCGATCCCACTGTGTAAAAATGTCAGTATTTTCTTTTTTTTTATAATAGATCGCTTCTTTCCGGCTCGATAGTTCTGTGTGAGTAAATTTGATCTAGAAGATCGTCCGCGACGGACTGGAGGTAACCAAATCAAGGATAACAAATTGAAGCGGAGTAGTAATCGAAGAAGTCTAACCGCAAACGGCTCTATGAGAAGTCAATGCTAGCTGACATAAATGATGAACACTTTCTCTGCCCGATGATCTTTTTCAAGCCGTCGTTGTGTAATCATTATTACTATATGTAACTAACTAATAGAAGAACATATTACCAATCATATTTCTATAATAAAGCAGTATTACTAGTGTAGCCTTTTTGGCGGCCTTTTGAATATACCGGATAGGACACACGAGCGCTTTAGGCGGATCCGAGAAAGAGTAATGGCGTCCCACTCTTTTCGTTATGCATATATAATGGCTCGGTGGCTAAACGTACGAGTTGTAGGTAGAAGCGGAGTTGGCTGTGCCCCTTTGCTACTTTACGATATTCTGAGAAAATCAATTTACAAGCTACCATATCCGTCACTTCGGAGGAGTTCATAGAATCACAGAATTCTGCGCCAGCTTTGCCTGTAGCTCTTACGGTGGCGAAGATCGCCACGTTTGAGGTCCTTGATACAGCTGTCGTTATTGAATGATATTGGATTTTTATCCTCTTTTTTATTTTCTCTATTATTTATTACCACTACGACCATCAGTAGGAACGTTCTAACTGCAACTAGGCTACCAAAAGCATTTTCCATTACTTTGTCACACTTCTGGCTGACTAGTGCAGGACAAGTTACGCCCGATCTACATACGTTATCCGATCGCTGCCGGCATCGGAATCGTACGACGTACACGGCAGCTTTTGTTACTGATCACTATCGTGAGGCGCAAGGTAGATAGATACCGGCAATCGGGAAGGAGAGTTGTCAGCATCGTTGCAGAACTTCATTTATTAATACGTTCGCTATATGATGGTGATCGGTGGATGAAGAGCGGCTGCCTTTCTAGTTCTGAGAGTAAGGTGACCACAAGGCAATTGCATCACTGGTCTGATCTAGTTATTATGCATAGATCGTGACGCTGATTATTATTATTGTTATTTAATTTACTCCATGATACGACGAATATACCGATCAATATTGACTTCCCTGCTTTGGTTTCGTCCAGTTGGTAAGCATCAGAACGACTGAAGGCCTGCTATCGGCAGTAATAAAAAAAATATCAGCTTGACAAATAAAATCTTTTCACATTTGAGAAAAGGAAGATAGTAGTTTCTGGATCTAGGCTTTCTGCGTTCACTGATCAAGTCTAGCAATTGAAAACAACGCTTTAATAAGTAAGACTTTCCAACTACACAGCAGCTTGTTAGCAGAAAAAAAAAAAATTGCCATCTTCGCCACCGAATGCAGTAGCGAAGTTCGGAATCGGCTACAGTGACCAGTCCCGTTTATGCGTCTTGTTTTTTCCACTCGTCTATAGAATAAACCGAACAGACGAACGCATCCAAGTATCTGCCTATTTTTGCTAAGAAAGCTCAACGATGGCTGAAATATCAGCAGCATCGATAAACTGAAAAGAATATAGAGAGAGGTTAGATAAATTGGCGACCAATTTCCCCAGGTTTAGTATTTGAATCCATTATTAA